CCCCAAAACCCCAAAACCCCAAAACCCCAAAACCCCAAAACCCCAAAACCCCTATTTTAAAAGTCCCTGAAGATGCTAAATTAATTTTTACTTAACAATCAAGTATGGAATGATCTTTTGGAGAGTGATGGCTAGAAAGACCCATCCTCGCATTTCAGCAACTCTGTAAAAACAAGACTATTCAGTCTAAAGATATTAAGAAAAAGTTTTTAAAAGCAATGAAGAATGTACAGAAGCAAAAGAAGACGAAAAGGGAAGACTTTAAGAACAATTTATCTCTCTACCTTAGCCAGTGCTCCGAGTCTAGTAGCTTAGAGATGGATACTAACAAGACGGAGAGAAACGAAGCTCTAGGCTCTGTTGTGGTTAAGACACTCAAGAAGCAATTTAAGCATCCAGCACACTGAGTGGCTAATCTTTTGAAGGACTTCTTCGACATTTTTTCTTGCTATTATCATTCAATCTGTACGAAGAATAAGCAAATCACTAAAATTTATGATCAGACTGTTAAGTTCTGAAACGGCGAAGTCTCAGATATGCAAGATGAAATTAATAATACTAATTATGACTTGACGATTTCTAAAGAAATCCGAACTCAGATAGAGCACAGTTTCATTGAGATCAAAAGTGTACTGAATATAATTATTGATACTGTTCCACTCTTTTACTCTGGACTCATTAGCAAATACTCATTCATTCTGATTAAGGATGAACTACTTAATTATCTTATGTCTGAGTACATGGGAGACAAGACTTATCAACTTCTTTTTACATTTTGAAGACTTTTGACTTTGGAGAAAGAACATGTTCTTGCTAAAGTGCTTATTGAAAGAAATGATGATCAATCTGAAAACAAACTTGACTTGATAGAGAGACTTTATAGTCAGATTGATTCAAGCTTTCGTAGGGTTCAGATCGAGAAAACCTCTCTTTTTGAAAGCATAAGGTATACTCCAAGAGATGAAGAGCTTTCAACTTTAACAGAGAGACCTAGCAAATTTAATAGGGCTTCTCAGGCTGATTACATTCAGCTAAAATATGAAAATGCTTCTAGCAAATTATCGAGTCTGGATTATTGAAAATCTCCATTGGAGAAGATATACATGATCAAATGGGTTGCAGAGTCTATCAAAAGAGATGGTGCAATCATCTGCGGCGATGATGAAACTGCCATTTGCGCTGACACTCTGATTGGTATCTTTGCTTATATTTCTGCGCAATCTAGTAATCATCTTCTTTACTCTCACCTTGCTCTACCACAATTTTTAATGAGTGGAAAAATGAAGGATCAGTCATGAGAAGGGTACTATTTATGAATTTTAGAAGGAGCTCTAAGCCTCCTCTGTGAAAAGATGGATAAGGCACATGAAATGATGGTTACTATCTGTAACTTGGAGAACTCTCTTGATCTAGAACCTATAAACCTCAAGGAAGAAGCTCAGAAACTCGAAAGAAGGAGAAAAGACTTAGGATTTGAGTCAGACAACACAACTTTACCTCCTCAGTCACCCACCCCTACAAAGAACATTGCTATTTTCTTTTAGGAACTTAATATCTAAATTTTTAACCTATAAGCTTGTACATAATCTTTTTCGCTGTATTCATGGCGTCTTGGGATATATTTTCTGGTTTATGAACCATTTCTTGTCTTCAATTTAGTACTAATCCTTCCATTATTTTTAGGAGATTTTAGAAATTTAAGGTAACTAAGCCAATTTAATACTACCTCTAAGAGTGTCTATAAATGTCATCACAGATACTTGCCAACACTTATGAGGCATGATACTCTTCCAATAGACTCTCAATGCTTTTTGAACATTCTTATGTCTCAAAATACCTAAAGCGTCCTCACTTTAAGCTTCTAAAAATAAAAGATCTCTCAGGTGGAAAGTTGTTATTAGAAAATATTCTTTGTCAAATTAACTTAAATAGGTTACCTCAGAACCTAATGCGTTCATTCTGTTATATGTAGAACTTTAAGCCTCTGATTTCCCAGTGAATTCAGCCTGCAGAGGTCTCTCCCAATATATTTTGAATGAACACTACAAACATTAACATAGTGAAACGAAATTGGGTTGGAGGTTTTGTTGTAGGAATAAAAATAAGCAAAAGTTCATTCTTTTATTTATAATTTTAATGATCTTATAATTTCACAAGATAATAATGGGTACTTTTAATCCTTAAAACCCCTCTATAAGTTTTCTTCCTCTTAAAACACGATGCAGGCCAAATCGAATGATTTTACCTCTCATAAAGGGGTTTATGAGGAAGTTTCTGGAAGTAAGAATTATTCATAATCTTTCTAAACTTTCAGCGTAAAATTCTGTTCCACTCAGGTATAAAAACTCTGATTATTATCAACCCCAATTTTTGAGATTCATGCAAATTATAGAGTGGGATGCATAAAAACTAAGGTATTTGGGACGAGTGCTCCTGAAGCAAAATTTTTAGTCAAATGTTAGTAAAATTCTAGAGACTTCATCGGCTCGTCAATTAATAGGATTGCTAAAAGATATGTTTTCTTGTGGAAAAGAATTTTAGAAAGTGGAATAAGAGGGATAGAAGAGTAGATAATGATTCTCTAAGGTATATCTGGCTTTTAGGATAATATTGGCACTTTAGCAGTATTTGAAACTTCTTATCTTCTTTCCGAAATTTCCATCTTGAACTCACCAAATGGGGTTTTGGGGTTTTGGGGTTTTGGGG